CCCCCCCCTCCAGCGTAGTTATTCCCCATCTTGGCCTGGTGCTGACTAGAGTGCCTCCCCTGTATTCTGTCATTTTTGCTTCTCTTTAAGTCCAAATGCAGTCTTGAGAATACACGTCTCAAGAAAACAAAACAAAACAAGTTTTGGTAAAAATTAGGCACAATAAAAAAAATCACCGTCCTGCAAACCCTTTAAAGTTCCTGAAAGTCCCTCAGTCTTCCCAGAGTTGGCTAGCCGCCTCCTCCCAGCCTGCTCTTGTTCCCTGCAGGCTCCGCATTCAAGACAGTAAAGGATCGTTTCTTCACTTTTGTTTTGTTGAGTTATTGGTACTGTCACTATCTTGTTTTCTATTTTGCATTGCAACGTGGCTAGTATTTGCGCCACATTATAAGTCTAGTTTGCTTTAGATCGCTGGCCTGTGGCCCCTTGCCACTGTTTATAAGGTGGTTTCCAGGAGAAAATGCATTCTGAGTTCAGAACAAATGATTTGTAAAGTAAAATTTTTCTAATATAGATTGGTAATGTGGATCATTTACTTGTTAATATAATATATTTGGACGTTCTGAATATGTTTTTATTATCAGTGTTTCTTAATTTTACAGAGCAGAGGACAACACAGCAAGGTCAGGTGTATTTTTTACATACGCAGACTGGTGTGAGCACCTGGCATGATCCAAGAGTGCCGAGGTAAGACCACATTCTGAGTACTCTTCCTACCACCGAGTATCCATTTACCTAGGATTTCTTTGATTATTTAATCTTTAACTTCCTAAAATAGCTTATGTAAAAGTTAGGCTCTTTCTAATACTCATTTCAGTTTGACGTTTAATAAAAAGTCCTACCTACCTCTCTCTAATCCTACCCCAGTGCCCTAATGCCCCCCCATCCCTCTCCACTCTTCCGTTTAAAAAAATCTGCACAAAAACATGAGTCTTTTAGGAGTTTGAAAATTAACCTTGGGGAAAAAAACATACAAAACCTTACAAAAAACATACATACCCTTTTTTTAAAGGCTAGCAAATTGATATTTTTATTTCTGGTTATGCTTTTTAAAAAAAGGTTTCTTTATTTTAACCTTATATGAGTGTTTTCAGTGTTCTTTTATGTGCCCCTTAATAAAGTTTCATTTTAATATAGAAAAGAAGTAACCTAATTAAATTAAATTTTTATTAAATGCCAAAGCTCATGCATTTGAACTACCCAGTATTGTTAAGTGCATTCACTTGAGGTCTTTTTTTGCCTAAGCTTATACTCAGAGCTCTACTTGTCAAGATTCATGTATTTGAATCAAAACCAGATGTGACTAGCTGATCTTGGATTGCTTTGATACTTTCTCTTTATTTATAAATAAAGCAAAATAATAAAAAGGTTTTACTTTGTCATAGAGCTTAATTAGAATCTTTCGAGGGTGGCAACCAAAGAAATGTGCTATCACTAACTTTGCATCAAGATTGCCATTTATGTGTCTTGGTGTAATATAAGCTGTTTTAAAAAAGTAATGGGGAGGAAATTTTTGTTTTATTAATAGGCTCACTGACAAAAATCTATGGGCCTAACTTTTAGCAACAAGACTTTTATTATGTAAGTTATGAAAAGAAGTGTTAGGAATTCTGTTTGTCCAATTGAAGGTCATTGATGAGCTTTTTAATATGGTGTTTTTTTTAAAATTGACGTTTTTAGAGAGAGAGGAAGGGAGGGGATATAGAGAGATAGAAACATCAGCGAAAGAGAAACATCATTGATCGACTGCCTCCTGCATGCCCTCCACTGGGGATCAAGCCTGCAACCAGGGCATGTGCCCTAACCGGGAATCGAACTGGTGACCTCTTGGTTCCTGGGTCGATGCTCAACTGCTGAGCCACACAGGCCAGGCAGCGATGAGCTTTTTAATAAAATAATTTAAAATCATTCGAAGGAAATGTGCAGAAAAAGTGATTTTTAAAAAATAAATGTTTTACAATAGTGAGAAAGTAGATCTTGAGTTATCTGTTGAAAGAACAGTATGTAAGCTGGCATCAGAAGATGAACTAGAGAGAGGTTTTGGCAGCACTGTTGGTAATATGTTCTTATTCCTAAGGAACATGTCAGGTTTTCATTAATGAATACGTGGTTTCTGTAAAGGTTTAACATTTCATGTTGAGTACTGAATAATGGCTTTATGAAATTATGCTCTGGATTATTTTTCTTCTCTTTAGTCTCTGTGTTCCAAATTGTTATCTTAAAAATCATATCTTTATATCATCATATCTTTTGTTTTTGGAGTTTCCTTTAGTAAACTTGCCATTTGTATGGAGGATCTTTTATCAAAGCAGACTATAAATATTTAGATTCTATTAAAATTTCATCACTATTCAAAGACATTTATAAAATAGTGTAATTCAGATACTTTATTTAAAGATATCCAGTGAACTTAGATTATCTGAGAAGTTCTATTTCATCAAGTTTTGCATATCTCTTTAAAACAGTGACTAATGCCATTGCACCATGATTGTGTAGTCTTAGTCTTGAAATACAGATCTGTATTCCTTTTTATGGCTGTGTAACATTCTGTTTTCCTTCAATCATTTTCCAAGTAGAAATAAAGATTGTTTCCAGTTTTCTGCTCTTTTAATCAGTTTTTTAGAGCTCTCCCCTGTATGACTGTAGAATTATAAAGTTCTAAATAAAATGATATAAAATCAAATTCTGCTTATATCAAAAGAATTATTCTTTGATTTTAGTATATGCTTTTCATTTCTAAAAGTTCCACTTTAAATATCTATTTGTTCATTCTTAATAATCTCTCATTGATAGTTTGCCTTTGTATTTCCTTATTTTTTTTAAGGGTGCACGTCATAGCTGTTCTCCCTGATCTCTGACAGTACTTGGGGCTCTAATTCTGTGGTTGATTGTTTGCACTGACTTTCCTTTCTGAAGTGTTTGGTGATCTTTGTGAGTTTGTTTGATCTTAATTGGTTTGAGTTCTGTGGACATAAAGTAGGAATTTAGGAAGTTTTCCTGGAATCACTTCGTTTTTCCTTTTTGGTTCTCAGCTTGAGGAGGAAGTTTCGGGTTTCCTGTTCCATCCTTGCTGCTGCCCTGAGGCTGTTTTCCAATGAACAGCTACCCATGAGCAGTCCTACCTACCCCTTACCCCTGTGCCTAACTGTCACTTGGGTCCCAGCTCCCGCTCAATCCACTTTTTTCTTTTAAATTTGAGAAAGATTTTTTAAAAAATTTCCCTTGTCTCTTTTCAGACTAGCAGTGTCTCAAACAGTGTGTTCTTTTCAAGCTCTAGTTCTATAGCAGAAGAGTCTCATGGAACCTGTACGCAGAAGCCAGAATTACCGTTTCAACAAATCTGTGGGCACCTCTATGTGCTCATCGCTGGGCTTCAGTATGACCAAGAGGAGATTGTGTTAGGCTCAGTGTTTTTCTCGTTTAACTTTTAAACATGATTTTGAAGAGATTTTTCATTATGATTATCTGTTATAGTTTAAGTTTACATTAGACATGCTGCTTTTATTTCATTCTTTAAGGTCCTGTAAGTCTTTGTCTATGTAATAGTATTTTAAGAATGTGTGATACAGTAATTATGGTCTTTGGTCCATTAAAAGTCTTTCTGCCTTTTTAATTGTAGCAGCAGCCTTAGAGTGTTCTTCCTGACATGTCCTAAACAGGTTCTTCATTCACTAGCTTTACAGCTTTCACAATTCAAAGTGGAGAAGTTGCCCTTTAAAATGTGCACTGGGATTCTTTTCAGAATCATAATTTTAATATTTCCAGTTTTGCTTTGTCAGAGAGCTTAAAATTAAAGGAATGAACACTTATTTACACAAATTTTACAGTGTAGTAATGAAAGAAAGAATTGAAGGGAAATTTTAGAAACATTTAATTTCTTATACCACTGACATTTGTAAAACAATATTTTGTCAGATAAGGATTGAAGTACAGTTTATGTTGGCAAGTTTTGTGATTGCTTTTATATTAATTTAAAATCTGTGTCACATTAAAGCCCAGGAACAAACTTTCTAAAAATGTAGGCTATGTGATAAGTTTCTGAGCCATTTATGGATTGGCTTTTGAATATGCAAGTTTGTTAAACCTTTGGGAATTAAAGATTCCAGCTGAGCATCTCAAGTTTCTGAAACAATACATTTTCTCAGACTTCATGGAATTGTTCTGTGTCATTTACACTTGCTTGGCTCAGCAGGCCCAGCAATGAGGTATTTTTTATTTTATATTTGTTTTTGCAGGGATCTTAGCAACATCAATTGTGAAGAGCTTGGTCCATTGCCTCCTGGATGGGAGATCCGTAATACAGCAACAGGCAGAGTTTATTTTGTTGACCATAACAACAGAACAACACAATTCACAGATCCTCGGCTCTCTGCTAACTTGCATTTAGTTTTAAAGTAAGTTTTTGAAACAATATGTGTGAAAATGTGGGTCTGAACAAGAGAAGACTGATGCTGCTTGTTTTAGTAAATATGATAGACTGTCTGCTGTCTTCAATTATAAGTTACTTTTGTTGAACAAAATTTTATGTGGAAGAGTATGACGAGTTTCACTTTGATGTATGAGTATTTAATCCTACTGTGCTTCAGTAGCAGCCTGTCGTTAAAGCTGGGAGAAGGGGATGAATCCGAGGTGCGCCCTGGCACACCGAGAGAGACAGGCCGCTTCCCGGGGTGTGTGGAGACAGCACATTCCCGCCGAGGGCATCAGCAATAGCTCCAGGACAGCTGAGTCCAGCCCAGGACATTTTGTTGCTGTTAGCTTTGTTTGGTAGCTCTAAGTCTTCTTTCCCATTTGCAGGACTTAGTCTTCCATACAAGTCTTTGTGAATGGGCTCAATGTACCTTGGATTTTTTAATGGGCTTTATTGAAATGTAATTGACATACAATAAACTATGCATATTTAAAGTATACAGTTTAAGTTCTGACATATTAAACACCCGTGAAACCATCACCACAGTGAAGGTAATGAACATATCCATCATCTCAAAAGTTTTCCTGTGCCTCTCTGTACTTCCCCCACACCCCCCCTCCTGTGGGGCTTCCACCTGTGTTCGTTTCCTAGGGCCGCCGGGTCACAGGCCACAGGCCACAGTAGGAGTTCATTCTCTGTCAGCTCTGGAGGCCAGAGGGCCAGACTCGAGTTGTCAGCGAGGCTTGATTCCTTTTGGAGGCTCTGAAGGAGAATCTGTCCTTTGTCTCTCACCTAGCTTTTGGGTGCTTTCAGGAAACCTTACTGTTCCTTGACTTGTAGACACATCATTCCAGTCTTTGTCTTCACATGGCCTTCTATGATCTGTTTCTACCCACAGAACTATGACACCAAAGCGGTCATACCTACCAATTCTCCAAGTCTCCAAACACCAACTGGGCGTACAGCAATTGAAATCAGTTCTGACAATACCTGCAGATAGTGTCAGATCCCACAGGTTAAGGGCTCAGTCCCTCAAAACTGTCCCTACTTCAGATGCCAACTGCAAATCCCTGTTTTTACCAACTGGCTATAAATTGGGGAGTTCCCATGACCTGCTCCTTGGGTTCAGTAATTTGTTAGAATGACTTACAGAACCAGGGGAATTCTTTATTTACTATGATCAGCTCATTACAGAGGCTACAGCTGCCAGCAGTGTGAGAGTCGTGGCTACTCCACACCCTTGCTAACATAACGCCTGGTATCTTACTAACTTGAGATGTTCTAATAGGTGTGTAGTGGTTTCTCATTATAGTTTAAACTGCATTTCTTTCATGACTAATGATGTTGAGCATCTTTTTCTATGCTTTTTGCCATCTGTATCTTTGGTGAAATTTTTTGCCCCCTTTTTTAAAAAAAATTGAGGTTTTTTTTTTTAACTTTTGAGTTTTGAGAGGTTTCCTTACATATTTGCGGTGCAAGTGCCCATTCCAGGTGTGTGCTTTGGAAAGATTTCTCCTAGCCTGTGACTTGTCTTTTCACTTTTTTAATAGTGTCTTTTGAAGAGCTGTTTTTCAAAGAAAAATTTTCTTTGAGATTTGATGAAGTATTAACTATCCATTTTTTATGGATTATTCTTTTGGTATCATAGCTAAGAAACCTTTGCCTAATAAGTCATAACAGTTTCTCCCTGTGTTTCAGAAGTTTTATGGCTTTGGGCTTTACATTGAGGTCTCTGACCATTTGGAGTTAAGTTTTTGCATCTGCTGTAAGATATATCTAAGTTTATTTATTTTTTAAGGTCAATACAATTGTTTAGGGAGTGCTTTTAAATATCTTCTGTTTTGATTGTGTGTGTGTGTGTGTGTGTGTGTGTGTGTGTAAAAAACACCTTTATTATTATTATGCTCGTGAGAGTACTAAATAGTGATTTGTAATTTTCATCAAAGATACATTTTCCTCTGGATAGTTATATATTTTAGGTATAAAGTTTGGTCTAGAACAGAAGACCCACTGTCTATAAAAAAGTTTAGGGATTTGTCAGGGAACTGAAAGTCATTTCTGTTTATTTTGTCATAGGTACCATTGCCCTTTACATCTAGGATAGGAGATTGTGCTCTTGGCTGTTATGTGCAAAATTAAACTCCAGTGGAATCGCTCATTGTCTGCTATTGATGTCTACAGTAGCAAATTATCTGACTTTTTATTTCTTGACAACTTACTGAAATTAGTTCATTATATCATCAGATTCTTTAAAAAGTTCTTAGAGGCAACTTATAATACTTTAGTTAGGAGAATAAAAATATCTCTAGGTAACTTGCTTTTTAAAAATTATTATATTTCTGCTGTACCTGGGAGATTATTTTCATGTATTTGTGGTAAACCATATACGTGCAGTTAAAAGTCACTTTAGCACAACAATGTGAGTGTACTTTCTGCCACTGACTACTTAAAAGTGGTTAAAATGCTAAATTTTACACTGTATATTTTACCACAATAAGAAGAAAAGTAGTCACTCTGTTAAGCACGTAGACTTGTTAGTAAAGTGCTACTTCTCGGTGCCAGTAACTGCCATGTGTCCTTCCACATTCCTGTGGTCTAGACTAGCGTGTATAGGAGGAGGGTCCCTGCCAAGCGGCCAGTTCCTGCTGTTTGTCTCTTCCAGACGGACAGACTCTAGATAACAGGCACAGCGCTTGGCACATACCTGAATTTTAAAACGGGTGATGGTAAACAAGAAAAGGGAAACGGTATCTGAGAAATTTGTTCTCAGCAGCTGTTTAAAGCTTTATGGGTAAAACTCCATTTTCCAATTCCATAAATTCATATGGATTCTGAGAAATGACCTCTGGAGCTAGTTTATTGTCAAAAATGACAAACCAAAAACACAGTGAATGAGGCATGGAAATGATATAGCTAGACTTGTTTTATAGTGGATGCTACTTTAAATGTACAACGTAATCTTTTTCATTTAAATATTCTAAGAGTATTTTGTTTACGTCTAGTCGGCAGAACCAGCTGAAAGACCAGCAGCAACAGCAGGTGGTGTCGTTGTGCCCTGACGACACCGAGTGCCTGACAGTCCCGCGGTACAAGCGAGACCTGGTGCAGAAACTAAAAATTTTGCGGCAAGAACTTTCCCAGCAACAGCCTCAGGCTGGCCATTGCCGCATCGAGGTTTCCAGGGAGGAGATTTTTGAGGTAAACTTACAAGTCTTATTTTAAAATTGAGAAAAATTAAATTTCAGTGTTTTGCTGTTTTCCAAGAACACTTTTTGTGACTGTAGAATGGGAGTGTTTTTATTAAATTCTTTTTAAACTGTGAGCGCTAAAGGCAGTACCATTGGAGAGATTTAGTGTGTAAGGTGGACGTTTAGTGGGACAAAGAGTGTTACGTGTCCAGTTGGCTCTGCGTGGTCCCTGCATTGCGAATATTCATTGTCAAGGAGCTTTAAAGACCACGAGCATCACCATCTCTTACTTTCTCATCCTTCCAAAGGTGAGGGGCTCCTCACTCAGAGATCATTTTGTTTACTTCCGTAAGTTACTGAAAGCCGCCCTTCCTAGTGGGTCTTTTATCTTTGGATTTTATAGCCCCACTATCAGCTTCAAAGTTCTTCCATAGTCAGCGGCAGAGCTCCAGGGCACGGGCTTCTCTTCCTTAGAGGCTTCCTGGCAGGAGCTGTGGGACTTGGTCATCTTTTTCCCAAAGATGAACTTTTTTCTCTCAGAACAGTCCTGGCCTTGTTTGTATCCATCATTTGTATTTTAAAAAATATAATATTGTCGATTTCATGAAGAGAACACTAATGATTACTTATATTCATTTGGAACTTTCATTTCTTACTTTCTACTGGTGCCTGTGACCTAGACGTAGGTCAACCAACTAAAAATTTTTGTACTTCTGTCACATGTTTTTAATATGAGTGAAATTCTTGCTGTGGTTCATAGAACTTAAATATGGAGTTTTGCACTTAGTAGGCCTTTAATATAATATTACCAAGTGGATTGGTTTCAGTAGTATTAAGCTATCTTCATTTTGTTTTTAGAAGTTCCAAGAGGTTTCAAACATTTAGAGTTTATCCTTTGATTTGATTGTTGAATTTCACCTTATTTATAAACATGTTTTGTAGGTAGAATGGGAGAGAGAGCATAAATGACTGGTTAAAAGCACCTAGCAATTATAGTATATTAAAAATTTTTTTCAGGAGTCCTATCGACAGGTTATGAAAATGAGACCAAAAGATCTCTGGAAGCGATTAATGATAAAATTTCGTGGAGAAGAGGGCCTTGACTATGGAGGGGTTGCCAGGTAAAGACTTGCTCATCAGGAAATGACATATGGATCCTTATATATACAAATTTAAGATACTCTCTGTGGTGTAACCTTCTCATTGATATTTATTTTCTAGTATAATATTCCCTAATGTTTGCAATAGGGAGGGTATCCTAATCGATACATTCATGATGAGGTTAGGATAGTACTTTTACCAGAAGAGTATTGGAGAGTTCAGTATATAAAAAGCATATAAGACACGTCAGGTGAGTGTCGTGTGTGCTGGGAAGGTTGCTTAGATGGACGCCTCACTTTTGTTTTTAATCTCTAGAGCTTTTCTAGAGCTTTTCGAGTATTACATGAATGGTGGTGATTTGAGCTAGACTCCGTCACATTATAGAACTGAAAAACATTTTTCTTTAACTTTTTGTTCAAAATTATTTCACTGTATTTCCTTAAAATGTATTACCCAAGGTAATACATTTAATCCATAATAGTAGAATATATATAAATACCTTTTCTAGCTGAGGAGTGACAAGAATTGAGACTAGAACTGCATCTCTTTAAGTCCTAGACTAGTGATTGTACTTCAGTTTCCCCAAGGTGAATGTTACCTTCCAAGCTTTGAAAAATGTGAAGGGTTTAATAAATTTAAGGTGATAGTACTATTTATTACGTGGTTTTAAAAATATTGATGTACACGTGAAACCAAGAAGTAAGGAACACACCAGAAGGTACAGGCGAGGGTAAGAATGTGTTTTATGTTTTGCTATGTGCTCTACCACTTCTTAGTTTCAGGTGACAACTTATACTTTCACTATGCTGTATTTAGGGCTTACACAAAAAAAGATGATGAATAATGAAATTTCCTTGTAAAACAGTACCAACAACAAAGCACACCCTGTCCAGAAGCGAGAGTAAATTACTGTGGTATCATATCATCTGCATCTGTGTTACCTAGTGCAGGTCTGCCACGACAGGAGCCGTGTGGATCACATGGATATTTTGAACCATACCCTTCCCTTTATTTGATATTTAACACAGATTACAAATTTATTTAACAATTAAAAGGAGCAGACTTCTGGGATGCATCATGTAATTAGTTGGTGCTTCTGGGTAATACCTTTATACTCTGCTGCTAATATGTCACAGTTGCTCCGCATGAGTGAGAAGTGATCGCATAGTAATAAAGCAGGAGTTCCCATTTGCCTTTTGAGCACGGTCGGTTTTCCCAGTGGGATCTTCTATAACTAGTTAGTGCTTTATTTTCTTTTCTTTAATAAATTCTTTGCTAAAATGATTAATAGCATATTTTAATAAAAATATATTCTTTAACAAAAGGCTCCCTTGTGATACCTTGTTTTCTAGGGAGTGGTTATATCTCTTGTCGCATGAAATGTTGAATCCGTACTATGGCCTCTTCCAGTATTCACGAGATGACATCTATACGCTGCAGATCAATCCTGATTCTGCAGTTAACCCGGTATGGCTGCTGCTCCAGTGATACGAATTAACTTGTGACCTGCAGCACTCTTCATCTTTAATGTCAATGTAGTTTATGACATAGGACTACTCTCCTTGTCCCACTCACAGCCTTAGACCTAGCAATTCCTCTTAGAAAAATTTCTAAAGTAAACAATTATGGATGTGTTCAGCAGTTTGGGCCCAGGGATGCTGACTGTGTCATTGTTTATAGAAGCCCCATTGAAAACAGTATCATTGTCCCTAAGCAGGGGGTTGATTAAATTGTGACGTGAAGCAGAATGACATTAACCGTTACAAAACATAGATCCTGGAGTTAAAATGAGAATATATCCAGGTCCTATTACTTAATAGCTTTGTGACCTGGGGCACATTCATTGACTTGGGCCTCAATTTTATCATTGCTAGTAATAATAAATATAGTTTGTACCTCAGAGGAGGGTTGTAACAAATCAATGAGACCCTGCACATTAAGTATTTAGCATAGTGCTATACATTATTAACCCTATTATATATCATTAAGCACTCAGCAGAAGTTGGCAGCTGTTACTAATATGTTGATTCTATATTATTTCTATTGTCTTTCCATACAAGGGCATATGGATAGCCCCAGAATAGCCACTAAAGTGACATTGTGGGGTAAAAGTTAATGACATGTCAAGATGGTGTTTGTGACGAATGATACAAAATAGTATGATACAATTTTGGTAAATATGTACATGTGTAAACATCGAAAGGCTCTATTACAATATTGATGTTAGTTATTTCTGGGTATTAGATTATGGATAGTGAACAGGTATTACTTTCTACAAAGAAACAAAAGCTTGTCTTTAAGGTAAGAGGGAGGTTTAAAGATTACTTATTAAATAGAGAAGTAAAAGAAGTGTAAAATCAAATATCCGAATAACAAAACAATTTATCAGGAAAGATCAAACATATCGAAACATGGCAGGAATGTTAGATTCATTGCAGGGAATGCTTTATAAAGGAAGATTTTTAGGTAAAGGTTCTGCTTGGGGCCCCATTACTGCCACTCAAGTTGTAGTAACAACAGTTCACGTTCGTTGAGCTTTTACCCTGTGCCAGGTCCAGTGCCATAGCTTCATCATACTCCTCACAGAGATCCTTTTTAGATACTATTATTACCCTTATTTTTCCAGATGTGGAAAATTAGTCCTATAGGGGTTAATTTGCCCAAGTATGCATAGCTAGTAACTGGCACAGTCAGGACTCCAGTCCAAGTTAGACATGAAATCTGTGCCCTAAATCTGTGAGGTTTTGAATTTCAGTTTCTGGTTAGGTCAGGGAAATAGGAGGTTTAGGACTGAAAGCTTTTTTCCATGACAGAGCCAGGCTAGTAAAGGGCTCAGCAGGATATGCGAGGAAGAGAACAGGATCTGTGAGTGGTTTAATGAAGCTGCAGTGGGACTGTTGTCTGGACTTAATTTCCAAAGATGAATTTTACAAAGTGACTGTACCTTTGAGAGAGGCATTGACTCTGGTGTAATGCTTTATAACAACGTGGAGAATATTGAGCATGCCCAATAGAAACTCTCCCTATGATTACTGAGCTTTGATATGATAGCCTATTCCATCTAAATAGTTATAAATTAGAGTATAAGTTGATACTTATTATAAAAAGATTAATGTTGCTTAAATATTTAATTGTTATTAAAAATTGCCTGGATAGTGTCTAACTTGAGTATTTGTATAAACTCTTTTCAATTACAGGAACACTTATCATATTTCCACTTTGTTGGACGAATAATGGGAATGGCTGTGTTTCATGGACATTATATTGATGGTGGTTTCACATTGCCGTTCTATAAACAGTTGCTGGGGAAGTCAATTACTTTGGATGACATGGAGTTAGTTGATCCAGATCTTCATAACAGTTTAGTGTGGATACTGTATGTATTGAGTCTTGTTCATTATAGTTAGAACCTGAGCTTTTAAAAAAGATCCTGTCTCAATGGATGTACTTCTTTAAAATTTAAAAAACACGCAGAAAATATTAAGAGTGACTATTTGAGTGATAGGACCACATTAGATGTTCCCTCTTTCTACTGCTTTCCGGTATATTTCAAATTCCTAAAAGTTAGTGAATGTTACTACTTTAAAAAGGAAAAAAAATCTAGTGTATTCTATTTTAAAAAATACTATATATAAATGCTTTTCTTGACGTGATGCAAGTTTGATTCCAGTCCTGTGTTAGAATAGCAGATTCCTGCGGAAGCGGTGATTGTTGAAACCGTCTGTAAAAAGGGCATCTGTTAGAACCAATTCTGTTTTGTGGGATATATTAGTAGGGCATTAATTTATGAAGATACATTGGCCATACTTATTTTGCCTAACACATGAGTAGCTTTTTCGCTGGGGTTACTCGGGTGTTTGGTTACTTGGGATACCCAGACTCAAGTAGTGCCTCTTACCTGCAAGCCAAAAATAAACTGAAGTTTCCCTGTGTCAAGCCCGGCTTCAGCCAGCGCTCTTTCTCCATACTCAGGAAGTGAAACACTTCCTGTGTTTATGGGGTTAAAGCTCTTGGACTTTTCTGCCCAAGAACTGGAAGGTTTGGTAGTGTAGGAATAGTCAGAGGAATCTGATTTTATATTTGTCATGTCATAAAACTTTATTTTTATTTGTCTCACCAATTAATACATCTGTAGGGTCTGTATTTTAGATTTTCCATTAAGCATCTTTCCTCTTTCCTTTCAGTGAGAATGATATTACAGGTGTTTTGGACCATACCTTCTGCGTTGAACATAATGCATATGGGGAAATTATTCAGCATGAACTTAAACCAAATGGCAAGAGCATCCCTGTTACTGAAGAAAATAAAAAGGAATATGTCAGGTATACAAGACTGAGAATTGTTTGAATGTTCTGGAATAGCAAGGGAAAAACATTTACGTATTTAGGTCATGTTACTTATGGCTACAAAAAAGGCTTCTGCAGAATTCAGCGGCTTAAAAACAACAACTGTGGGTCAAGAGTTTGTGTAAACAACAGGATAGCACATGGCACCTGTGTGCGGTGTCAGTGCGGGTGGAAAGGGCAAGATAGCCTCTTCACTCACATGCTGATGACTTAGTAGGGTGGCTCAGAGGGCTGGGGCTGGCCTGAGCGGCCACTGGGTCACCATCTGGGACCTCGTTCTCACTGTTGGCAGGGTTCCTTGGTTATCCCTACGTGGAATCAAGAAGCCTCTCATATCCCTCAGGCCTTTCTCTCCCCACCAAGGTAGAAGGAGTGGGGTGGCTGGTTTCCCAGAGCACAAGAAAAGTTGTCGGATCTTTTTAAGGCCTAAGCCTAGAACCGGCCAACGTGAGTCACCTCTGTGCTGTGTTGTTTTGGTTAAAATGAGACACATGCCAGCCCAGGTTCAGTGTGGTACAGGCTCAGATACCAGGAAATGTGGCGCATGGGCATGTGCAGCGCGGCTCCCTCACTGGCTGTGCATGTGATCTGTGCTGCTGACCGTCACTTACCCTGCTTATAAAGAAGCTCATTGTGAGCTTAAGGGATGGATACAAGAAAATGTTCTCCAGGTTTTACAGAATCACCTGTTGACTGAGGCATTTAAAAGTAGTGGGTAGATCATTTGGCTTATGGTAGCTAAAGTTCTCCTAAACATAGAACTGTGGTAATCAAATTTAGGAGAGTGAGCGTCACCATATGTACACAAAAACATGCATCTGTACTATTTTATACTGATTATGTCCCCAAGTCTTTCTGGCTAAAATTTTCCTACTTTACACATGAGGCCCATTAATCTCACAGACTGTTGAGGGGCGTGAACACTGATTTAGCTTTTTTGGAAGCAGTTTGATGATAACTTCCAAAATAAAAATGTACACGCCTTTAACTAGCAGCTCCAGTTTTAGGACTCTGTGCTGTGCAAACTCATTTACTTAAATAATTATTAATTAGGACGTTCAGTTAAATACTTGTAAAAAGTGAAAAACTCAGTGTTTTTAGAGGAGAATGGTTAACTGCATATATTCCGCAGAATATTATGTAGGTTTTTAAAAGAAAGAGAGACTCTGTAAGCTGTCGAGTTTAAAAAGCAAGTCTTAGAAGAATTATGTAGGGACAAAGCCTGCGTTGTTTTATAATTACATGGAAGATGTTCAGAAAGGCTCGATCCCAAATAGAGTGTGTCTAGGATGAGGGGGTGAGGGGGGGTGGCCCTGGGGGTAGCGAGGGAAATGGACTTTCAGGTTTGTTCTGTCTCCACATCTAGGGTTTTATTTATTTTTAAAAATCTAACAAGCACCTATTATGTTTCTAGTTAAAAAATAAAGGAATGGATGGGAATTTCCTGAATTTCAGTCGTGTGTGACTTGCGAGACCTGGTGGGGACTACTCTGTCCCTGGCACCGCTCGCCAGGATTCAGTCATGTTCACAGCACTTAGTGATGGTCCCTCACCAAGTACAGTTCTGAGATTTAAAAAATGACAAAGAAAGCCTTTTACAGATGAGCAGTTTGAGTGTCCCCTTAACCAAACACACAAAAATGAGGTTCCCCCAAAGGATATAATGTTAAGTAACTTATTCTTGAAGTAGAGAACTATTTCTCCAAGTTTGGAAAAGGAGATGTTGACACACTTGGAAGATGAATAGTTCTGAGATGTGGGAGATGGAGAGGTTTTCCTGGGTAGATTAAAAAACCAGGCAGTTCACTTATAAATTATTGGTCATAAGCACGAAGAGAGCTACACATTGGATGTAGTGTACTTTTTGTTGGTAAATTATATCTTCCAGGATTTTTAAAGCCTCCAGGGAACAATGAATATTTAACTAAAAAGTGCTTACTATTGGCTTTTACTATTTCTTTTCATTTTGGGTATACTGCCCCCAAGATATAAACAAAACACCCAACATTCAGACCATATTTTCAAGTGGATCCAGAAGAATGGTGATTTTTGGTTGAATGGGCTCTTTTGTGCCTGTTGGCATGCCTGTTAGAAGTTTAGAAAGAAGTCAACCTGATTTTGGCTTCAAGCACCTAAACTGAAAGCACCTAAGCTCCAGCAACTTCGAGTGTACTAGGAGCTCCTCTGAGCTGAAGAGTTGCTTTATTGACGCGGCTCTTGTTAGTGGAAGGTTACCACTTTTTAATATTGCCGAAGTAGAGATTCATCATAATTACCAGATCCAAACATATTTGATCATATGAAATCCCTGCCCAATGTTTCTAGGCTCTACGTGAACTGGAGGTTTTTACGAGGCATCGAAGCGCAATTCCTGGCTCTGCAGAAAGGATTTAACGAAGTAATTCCACAGCATCTGCTGAAGACATTTGATGAGAAGGAGTTAGAGGTCAGTACCTTTCAGTTTCATGGTGCGATGCTGTGAGCATTCGTACTCATGGGGAGTCTGTCCTGCTTTGGAATTTCTACAAGTGAGCTATCTCCCTTATATTGCGAACATTTATTTTTCCGTATTATTATTTCTTGTTTTCAACAGATTTCATGTCTTATGTGCACTTTCTTCCAATGTTGTTTTCTATTGAAATTTACTCGGAATGAAAGCCTAGGCTCAATTGATTTACACTAAGCTTTGCAAAAAGGCATTTGGTAAACAAGGTCATAGGAGAAATAATTAAAACACTTAAGATAAACTGTATCTAAACATCCTGAGTCTCTTTAGAAACATTATTAACATAGCTGTAATAAACAGTTAACTTCTTTTTGTTTTCTTTTACAGCTGGTCCTTAAAGCACCTTAGGTCTGGTTTTTTAATTAAGACCTTTAACAAATACATCTGAATTTCCACTGAGCTACGTTGTGAAAAAAGTCAGTAAGGTTTTATTCTGTCCGATTGTCCCAAATTTAGCTAGTGGCTAGGGAGAGCATAAATACTCAGTCTACACGATTTTATTAATTAACTTCAGTGTCCTTTTTAACTAAATCTGTTAACAGACTGTTAGCAAACACATCCAGAAGATTGGTTTGGCTCAGCGCCGCCCTCATTCATTTTTGTGACTGAACCACTCGGCAGTGAGATGGTCAGAAGGAAGTAGTCTAGGGAAGGAGGAAAACAGGACTGGCTTTTTCCTCAGTGCTCGCAGTGAACGAGGAATCCGGCCTTATAATTACCACCTCTCTGAGGAAAAGATTTTAGGAGTTACCTTTTGTGTTATGAATACTTCTATAATCCTGTTTGGATAACCACTTCCCTCTCATTGTGGCCATGGTTCACTAATCTCTTCAGAACCCTATAGAAGCCCTGTTGGAGATTTTATTCAATAAGGTTAGGGTTTATTATACAGTTTCTGCTGCTAATAGAACGAAACTCTTTACAAAAATATATGTATTTTATTTAGTGTTATACTGGGTTATAGAGCAAACTGCTGGCAAAGGAGGTGAACTGAATTGCTCAGAACCCCCAAGCTACCAAGTGTTGAAAGTACAATACTATGATGCAGGTCTTAAGGAAGGCACATATAAATTGTATGTTACTCTAGTTTCTGCCCATTAAAAATATCTAGAATTCTGTGAAATTATAGAACTTTCATCTCGTTGTTCCCTCATAGGTGGTTCACACTCTGGGTGGGAACCTGAAAGTGAATAGGTACATGGAGCTTTTTAAAATACAGCTTCTTAGTATCACCCCAGACCCACAGAATTAAAACCTGGTGTTTATATTCTGAAAAACTTTCAAGGTGATCCTGATGTGTGCCCTCAATTAATTTAAGAACCACCCTATGAGAGCCAACACTGCAAATCTGAAGTTCTATTTTGAGGAATTTTTGGCTTAACTTGGGTTTCCATTGGCTCATGCTTTGTGCACTATTTTAACAGCTTATTATTTGTGGCCTTGGGAAGATAGATGTTAACGACTGGAAGGTAAACACCCGGTTAAAACACTGCACGCCGGACAGCAATGTGGTCAAGTGGTTCTGGAAAGCTGTGGAGTTTTTTGATGAAGAGCGGCGAGCACGGTTACTGCAGTTTGTGACGGGATCGTCTAGAGTGCCTCTGCAGGGCTTCAAAGCTTTACAAGGTACCAAACCAGAGGGCCAGCGACGTGGCAGCAGATGACGGGGGGAGGGCGTCGGCACTTGGGGTATCTAGTTGGTTTACAACCACGTGCTTCTAAACAGATTCTCTTTCACCCTGTTTCTGACCTGTAACGCTCACACCGTGACCCCCTCCTCCTTCCTTTCTTTACTTTCTTCCCCCCAAGAGCCTGTTCTGCTGGGCTTCTCTGACTGTATGAGTGCTGCATGCGGAGACCGCGGGCGGGGCTGCTCTGCCTCCTGCTCACCGCGCGTGTCCGTTCTGCTGCACATTCCCTTAGGGGAAGCCTGTCCACCTCCGTCTCCACATCCAGCCTGGCAAAACGTCTACCCACGTGGGATGCCTCCCTCTCCTGTTTCATCCTTGTAACAGAAAGAGGCAGCATGAGTTGTGGAAGCCATTTGTTTGGTCAGCGCATGTTACTTTCTGCATGGCATCAGCCTGTTTACAGCCATGTTCCCTTTTAAAGGCTTGTTTTCTGTGGAATAGCCGTGTACTTTTTGGATGAGTGGCAATACTGCTAGTGACTGTGGCGCTTCACTGGGTGGCAGTTGCTTCCTTTAGCTCTGAAGCTCTTCATTTTCCAAGTTGCTGCTGCTGGTGGTGACTGAGGATGCACGAAGCAAGATGAGCGCGTGATCCTCCAGTGCTGCGCACAGCAGTGTCCAGAGTCCCTGGGGAAAGCGTACTGGGAGTTGTGCTGAGAGTCCCTACGTGGGGTCATGATCAGACTACGCATAAAGTGAAGTTGTGTTTATTTGTATGGACTGTCTTATGTTAACTGAAATTTATTCTCTAGACTGCTGATCTTTTGCTCTCAGCCAAGTTTGAATCATGAAACCTAAATTTGTATTTAGGCCGTCATCTTTCTGAATGTGTGTATATTTAATCTGGGATTTGCCCATTTACTTTTCTTCTCAGGCTTTTGGGACATTGATTTCCTATCTAAAAAACGAAGTTGTCAAAGGATTTAAATCCTGAACTTTTTTCAAATTTGAAATGCTAGCGTATTAAGGAATCCAGCCTTATCCAAGGTCAATTCCAGCTTTCCAACCCAGATTCTTTTCCTGGGAAAAGAATTTTTTTGGCAGCTCATGTGGAGTCACCAGTATTCCTCTATCCCTAGCCCCTGTGGTTTACGTACCGGCTTCACTCTGAGACTTTAGAGACTGATACAGGCACCTGCAGGGACCTGACCCACATCTTCTTCCTTGGCAGGTGCTGCAGGCCCACGGCTTTTCACCATCCACCAGATTGACGCCTGCACCAACAACCTGCCCAAAGCCCACACGTGGTGAGTTGTTCTTGTAGCGTTTCCTCTTACTCCGTGTGTGCAGGTGCTAGTTTCAAACAGGCAGCTTTTCATTTATTGTTCTTACTACTAAGTGGACCTTTAAAAGGAATGATAGGCAACTCTTCGAGTGAGTTAAGATTATTCTGAAGTTGGCAGGAACACCCGGAGTGGTCCCCTCTGCTGTAGAGAAGTACAACCTTGCTCCTGTAATTCTGTGTGGCACGGTGCGTTGCGGCTGTGTGAGTGGGCACTTGCGAGGCTGGCTGGCTTGTTTTGAATGAACCGTGTAAAACCTGATGTGCTTATTTACAGCTTCAATCGAATAGACATTCCGCCCTATGAAAGCTATGAAAAGTTATATGAAAAGCTGCTAACAGCCATCGAAGAAACATGTGGATTTGCTGTGGAATGACACACGTCAAGGATTTACCCAGGACTCTATTTATACCCGACAGCCTCCTTTCAGCAGAGTTTCAAGGAATGCTGAAATACAGGAAAATGCCCCCGCCCCCTTTTTTAAATTTTAGGACACTGTGAGGGGAAAGGACAATTTTGAAATTCCTTTTCAAGGGAAAAAAAGAGGTCTTTATGCTTTGCCATGAGGCCGCATTCAGCTGCTATTTAAAATTAATACCTTGAACCTAAAGAATGCTGACTTTTCCTACATTTCCAGAGTTAGGCAGTATTCTCACTTAAAGACTACTATTTTTATAAGAGGTAACCTATTCACATCGCGTCACAGGTTTCACGTCTCAGACACCAAGACAGCTTCAGCAGGCGGTACAAGTCACATTTCATTTTGGTCAAATACATGATTTTGAACAGCTCCTGTACTTGCTCTTTGTAAAAAAATGAAATAAAATTATTTTGAATTGCTCTGCCTTTGTAAACGATTGGCTCACAGAATCATTATCTTTTAAAAAGCCATTTACACATTTAATTACAGTTTTCTATAGCAAAGCATATTTTAAAAGCATCATATGTTTCAGCCTAGCCTAAGGGAGTCTTTTTTTATATTTTTCAAGCACAAATTTCCTGGAATACAGCTTTTGGTTGTCAGATTCCTAATGCAACCATTTAGTCTAAACTTGGTAGCTTATTTGCTACAATACGATGCTTTCAGGGGCTCCCTGTTTTTAAGAGACTTAAAAAAAATCCTAATTTTCTATCTTGAATCAATGTGACCAGGTGTTTTGGGTGTGCTTTTCATCCTCAATGGAAATCTGCATTTTTATAGCTTCTCAGATCCTGTGGATGAGGTGGGATTTTAACTCCTTTGCTGGGTCAGCTTACCTTTGATATATATACTATTTCTTGTAAACCAAAGTCTCCTCTGACCAGGACACTTAGTTTATATTATATTTTAATTACGGTGTAAGTCTCTATCAAGTAAACCATCCTAAATCTTTGTTTAGCTGCTCATGATATTTTAATCAGCTAAAATTATGAAAAAGGAAAAAATTTGCTCTAAATATTATTTAGCAAACTTTAAACACCCTGCTTTTAACAAAATGAAGGGGAGGGGGTGGGGCAGGGGATGTGATTACTAAGAAACAGCAATTCTAACTCAATGGTATAAATTTCTTTAAAAAGGAAGAGTGAATTTTGAAAGTAAGGGAATCCCAGTTCCCTTGGTGTTGAAGATCAGCATCTGATTTTGAAATAATCCAGATTTAGCTTTCAAGGTGTGTGGCATGTTGCATGATCCAGAAGGCAACCAAAATTCTGGAGTGAGGGACTGGAAAAATCCTAAATCACGGGTAGGTTTTTAAATTCAGCCATCAGAAATCTGCACTATTTTTTTTTTTTAACATTGATGTGAAATCAACAATAGCAAATTTTGATGATATAGCTTTGTTTAAATTTTGTGGCTTAATTATAAGTGAGTAATAGGCCTGTGTGTTCTTTCATTGGATGGATTGGTCTTCAGTCTGTGTTCTTGGAGCCAAGGGGTTCCTCAGAAGTAACGGTTTAGGAGAGAAGGGACGGAGTGAGGGGGAGGAAAGGACTGGCTGGTGTCAGCAGGGGCTTCTCACTCCCCACCCCCGTGCCCAGGGCAGCTCCCGCTTTCCTCTCTTATGTTGGAATGCCAAGTGAGCTTTCATGGGGTGAGGGCCGGGAGCGAAAGAAGTGGAAATCTGCTTAAAAAACAAAGTTGAGAACTACTTGTCTAGTTTCTAAGAATTTAAATTTATTTCATTCATCCAAATTTGACTGCTACATGCAAGCTAGTTGCAGTCCTGACCGCTTCTGCCGACCTTTCTCCCCCCTTTGTGCTTTCCTACCGCCTTCTTAGTACTGGAGAACATCTGGAAATGGACAGAAAGGTTTCTTACCGTTTGATAACTGGTAGTTTTCAGCTTTCACAAGGGTACCTTACAGGTCGCAGGCCCCTCTCTCGTATTACAGCGCTAGTGCAGTGTAATTGTGCCTACTCTGAGACTCAGTAAAAAGTAAGTACACGAACACTCTAGGGAAATCATAGCTGACGGAGGCAGTGCCAATGAAGTGCCACTGTCCTAATGTACAGTATCGAGCAGGCAAATACCATCGCTTTCCGAGTGCCTTTTTAAACTTTGTAAAAATGACTTCATAGAGCTTTAAGAGAAAGAAATTACCCTAACAGTCTGTGGTATCGCCAACATAATTTATAAAAACATGATTTAGATTTCATCTTCAAAAGTATTTTACCTATTTCCAAATAGGTGCTAAGCAAACAAAACCCCCAATGTGTTATTGACCCTTGGACTTGCACCTCATGTTTAATGTGAATATTTATTTCCACACGTCCCTCTTAACTGGGTTTTTTTCCTAATCCTTCCTCTAGTTGTGTTATTTCAGATATATGATGTTGCGTATTCATACATTGCCTTTCCATCATGAATACTTAATTATGAACAGTGGTTACTTTGTAGAGCTCATATGCAGTACAGAGGTGAGTTTTATTTCAGAGGGTCTTATTTCTTGGTGTAAAGAGTTTTTAAATAGTGCTGTGTATAGTGTACATTTTGTTTTGCACATAGTTTGTTGCCCCGAATGGGTTTTATTTTTATCGTCATGTTTTTTCCTTGTATTTACAGTCCAGAGCACAAGTTTCCTTTCTTTGAAATACAGTGTAATTTGCTTTATTTTACAACACTAAGTCTGCTTTGAACTTCTGGTGCATTGAACTGATTGCATCGATGGGGGTTAGAGGTTGTCCCATCTTTCAGTTTGATAGAGCAGCTCCTTCTGCTTCTCATTGTGAGCTGCAGCACCCACCGGTGGGTGCCATTTGTGGTACTTAACCTCCTCCTGTTAGGATATGATTGTACCAAATGCTGAGTTGTTTTGTTTCTAGATGTAATTAGTTCACTTAATGTAATATTCTTCCTTCTTTCAAACTGACTTTAAAAACAAAGTTTTATCATTTTCATTGTATTTGTATTTATTACAGAGTGTTTTAGCTTTGATATTCTTTGTATTTTTACTCAGTTGTTACATGAGCTTTTATCAATAACATCTGTATAAATGGTTTTTAAAAATTAACTATGTATGTGCCCATGCCGACATTGAGCAATAAAATGAATGCTGTTTGCACTGTCACAGCATCAAAGTTTTTAAAGAATATTGAGTTTATAATGGTTTTGAAAAAACTCAGTTGGCTCTTTGAAGGGCGACAGCATGTGAGCCATAAAAGGAGAGGTTTCGGGAGATTCATACGCCTCCCTTAGTTGATGCCTCTGCCACTTTGGAGAGCTGGAGCCTCGGAGAGCTCAGGACCTCCTTTCTGTCTCCAGGTGAAGCAGGGGAGGTGCCATGTGGCATTTCTCCTGCCGTGGCAAATTGATGGTTGGCAGTGGCTCTCGGGGTCATGTAGAGGTGGATTTCCGAGGCCAGTGCAGTGCTGCCACAATGTCTGCCAGGGCTCTAGCTACAGTAGGCACCTCATTTCCTGCCCTGGTGTTGGGCAGTAGAATCTTCAAGATGAAAAAGAGCCATGACTTCAATTAAGTGTCATGATTCACGGCGCTGTAAATGGTAGTGGATGCAAGTCCCGCTAAATGCACGGGGGGAAGAAAGAATGGAGACAGCGTTTGCCGTCCAGTGTTGCCTTCACAGAGGGAGGTCGGGAAGTGCAGTGCTGTGCAGGGGCGTGAGTTCCCAGGGTGGGCGTGCTGTCTGTTTTACCCTTTTGAAGTTCCTTTTTTGCTTTGTCTCACATTGCCACGTTTCCTGCTTATCAAATTTGTCACGTTTTAGTACATGAAGGATTTTAGTATCATCTATAAATTGCCCAAAATTTTGATTTGACTAGTATGTGATGTTTTCCTTTGTGGTGACCTGAAAGGTTTGTCCTTTCATTATAAAGGAGGTTAACCTTGGCACCCACTGCATTTATTTGTCCTAACTGCTTAAAGTAGGAAATACACAGTAGAACAAGAGCCTAGTAACAGGATAGAGGTAAATTACACGGAACGAGGGTTACAGTCCTACATTAACATCCTTAGCTAACTAGACAAACTACATGTTAAAGTTACATTATATTAAAAGGTATCTGCCCTAAATGTGACTTGTTCTTTGTTCATTCAACAAATATCTACTGTGCTCCTACTATGTGTCAGGCTCTGTACTAGCTTAGGATGGTTGTTAGAAGCTGAAGTTCAAACTTAGATACTCAGAACTGTTTGTGTATGGCAAAGAAGTCATGATGGGAGCACAGGATTAAATGCCTCACTCCAGCAAGGCCTCAAGTCCTGACTTAGTTTTTAAAACAATCGGTTTTGTTTCCCTGCCTCCTGCCCCATGACACTTCAGGTCCTAGGGACACTGATCTCCAGGACTGGTAGATTCTTCCTTTGTGTTCGTGTTCATACAGTTGGCTGCATTTCCAAGGTAATGTGCTCAACTCTGGAGTAGCGTACCTCTGTGGATATTTGGGCTGGGAGTTACATAGGTTATCATTGTCTCTAACAGCTGGAAACCTTACAGAGAGTCTCCCTTATGGTGAGTGCTTTATAAGTAAAAGAAGTGGAGAGGCAGCTGTTGCAGCAGCATGTGGGGTGGCAAGGGGCCCTTCCAAGATGTTCCCCCCCCCCACTCAAGTGTTCTTGAAGTCTCACTTTCAGCCCAGGAACTGGGAGTGGAGATGGAGAGAGAGCACATCAGATTCAACCTTGCAGACCACTCACTTCCCCCAAAGACAACACTGGCGTGGCTGGGTGGTAGAGAACCGTCGAGACCAAAAAGGTATTTATTTCTTTTAATTAAAGTATACTTGACATACATGTTTCAGGTATACAACATAATGATTCATATATATATTTGTATATATTCTGAAATGATCACCACAATAAGTCTAGTTAACGTCCGTTGTCATAGTTACAATTTTGTTTTTCTTGTGAAGGGAACTTTTATGCTACAGTATTGCCAACAGTAGTCTCCATTCTGTGCATCACATCCCATAATTGGAAGTTGGTACCTTTTGACCCGCTTCATCTGTTTCACTAACCTCCCCAGCCCCTTCTGGCAACCACCAATCAGTTCTCTGTATCTGTGAGCTCAGTTTTTGTTCTTTTAGATTCCACATACACGTGAGATCCTATGTTGTCTTTCTGTGGCTTATTTCACTTAGCATAATGTCCTCAAGGTCCATCTTGTCACAAATGGCAAGATTTCCTTTCTTATGGCTGAATAATATTCTGTTGTGTACATACACACCACATTTCTTCATTCAGTCATCTGCTGATGGGCACTGGTTTCCGTATCTCGAGTATTGTAAATAATCGAGCAGTGAGCATGGGCGAGGTGTGTGCAGGTATCTTTTCCAGTTAGTGTTTTCGGTTTCTTTGGATAAATACCCAGAGTGGAATTGCTGGGTAGTTCTGTTTTTGACATTTTGAGGAATGTTTTCCATGGTGGCTGCACCAGTTTACATTGCCACCAACAGTGCACAAGGAAGGGCTCCCTTTTCTCGCATCCTCAGCTCGCACTTCTTGTCTTTGATAACAGCCCTTCCAATACTTGTGAGGGGACACCTCACTGTGGTTTTGATTGGCTGTTTTTCAGATGATTAGTGATGCTGAGCATCTTTTCATGTACCTTCGGTCATCTGTGTGTCTTCTTTGGAAAAATATATGTTCAGTTCTGCCCGTTTTTTAGTTGAATTGACTTTTTGCTATTGAGTTGTGTGAGTTCTCTATTATTTTGGATATCAGCCTCTTTTCAGATATCTGATCTGCAAACTTTTTCTCCTATTCTGGAGGTTGCCTTTTCATTTTGTTGGTTTCCTTTGTTGTGCAGCTTTTTTAGTTTGATACAGTTCCAATTGTGGATTTTTGCTTTTGGTGTCACATCTAAAAAATCATTGGCAAGAGCACACTGTCAAGGAGCCCACCACCTGTGTTTTC